CGCATACTGTTTTTCGCCTACTATATAGTATGGAAGTATGCGATTTCGGACGCAGCTTTGGGTGTTTTTAGGGGCGTGATCCATCTTAACACACAAATTGTGTTAAATTTGACACAACATGTGTTGTCCCTGGGCACACTCACCACGTGTTAAAATTCTGCACAACATGTGTCATTTTTAACATCTCTTTTTGCAGTGCACAGTGAGTGTGCAGTGACCTCACATTGGGAACATAGTATGAGCACACAGTGAGTGCACTGTGTGGTTACACTTTTAGCTCACTGTGACACACACATTGTGACCACACCATGAGAATCATGTGAGCTCATGGTGACATCATTGTGAGATCAAATTGTTGACTGGGTATACAACGGGTTTTAATAAAATACCATTCATTGGTAACCATATTAACATATAAATATTCATCTTGCTGACATTTCTGCAATTTCAGTCAAATAAATGCTGTTTTCGCTTAGAGAGTTGGACTCGTAACCCAAAGGTTGTGGGTTTGAGTCTCTGGTCTGGCGGGGATTGTTGGTGGGGGGAGTGAATGTACAGTGCATTCAGTGCAAACCCCCAACTGCTCCCTGGGCACTGCAGCAAAAATGGCTTGTGTGTGTGTGTGTGTGTGTGTGTGTGTGTGTGTGTGTGTGTGAGAGACACACACTAAGGATGGGTTAAATGCAGAGCACTAATTTCAAGTATGGGTCACCATACTTGGTCACATGTCATGTCACTTTTAAATATACATGACTGCAATGGCAAGAGAAAGCAATGTAGATGTTGTGGGAAAAACAAACAAAACTTCACAGTGCTGCAGCTATGTTTTTCCTAACCGCCATGTTTCAAATTTGCCTTGGAAACTTGGGTATCAAAATTGTCTCAGAGTTTCCCAGTTGTAAATACGACTTGAGAGGCCACTCATTTCCAATTTCTGACTAGGAATCTTGTATTTATGATAATTCAGATAGCACGTGAAGGCAACATTAATTCTATAGGCTATTTCCTGATGTAAGGAAGCCTGATGTGTGTCAGTATATTGAGTCTGTGCATTAGCTCTTAAAGTGACAGCACCCTAGTATACCTTCTGCTGTCTGTCATTTAATGGTAATTAAACAACCGAGGACAAAAAGAAAATCACTCACAGCTCTTGGCTGAATAACCTTTGTAGAATTAACAAAGATTAATATATATTTAATTTATAGAGCAAAGACTACACAGTGTTATTTTAAATTTGATGATTTGATTTCTGTACCCGAATACTACTATGAGACATACTTAAAAAAACTTAAAGCACTGTGTTATTTATTTTGTACAGTACCTTTGTTTTCTTGTGTTTATTTGTGCTACTGCTTGTCATTTGTTTATTTGTATTGTAACTGGAAATGATAACTCTGACATTAGAATGATTTATTAGAATATGAGGTTACATGAGTCAACAAAATGGAAACTGGTTTAGCTCACTTCTGGTACAAATTTGCCCCCATAATATAGTAAAGTATGTACATGTAAATGTGATATTATTTGTTTAGATAAGATCTGTCCACCTCCTCCGTATCTTCAACATGGAGATTACAGCATCAACAGTACAAAAGATAATGTGATCACAGCAGTATTTTACACTTGCCAGTCTTACTTTGTACTTACCAAGCAACAAGACGTTTATAAGTGTGTGGATGGAAAATGGGAGACTCCTCCGAAATTTCTGAGTGAGTCATTTATGTTGTTTTAATTTGTATCTATTTATTTTTTCTGTTTTTAACATTGTTTACATTTGTCTCTGTCATAGGACCTTGTGAAATTGATGATTTTGTCGAGAATTACAATCTACAGCTTCCTACAGGAAAGATCTACATAAGGCATGCTGAAAAGTATAGACTGAACTGTACAGATTGATGGAATGCTGGAAGTGAGATGAAAGCGTATGTGGACGTGTCATGCTCCAACGGGAATCTACAGATTGACAAAAGTTGTGAGTATTGCCTCGTTTTCAGATCCTGAGTCATATTGGTGATCTGTGCAATTATTGATTTATTATTTCTTTCTTTCTTTAGGTGATATACAAAATAAAAGAAAATAAACAGAGTGGTAATTGAGGTAACCCAGCTCAGTTTTAAAAATGACAAATTTACTCTGTTTATACCTTCTTTACAAAAGAGGACATCCCTAAATGGAGGTTTCGAGAGATTTTGTCAGGTTTAGCTCACTTCTGGTACCAATTTGCCCCCATAATATAGTTAAGTATATACAGTACACACACACTTGTACATATATCCCATTCAGCTACAAATGTAAACATGAAATTTTATATTATCTTGCAGAAATTGTATTTCTTTGTATTTCTAATCTGTGAACATTCCTTCAACAACCCTTTTTGATTAAAACATGTTAATAATTAGACTGACTTTGGATTTTAGCTCACATCACTTACATCACTTGCGCACCAATGGATCCTCAGTAGTGAATGGTTACCGTCAGAATGACAGTCCAAACAGCTGATAAAAAAGCATCACAATAATCCACAAGTAAACCACACGACTCCAGTCCATCAATTAACATATTTTGAAGTGAAAATCTGCATGTTTGTAAGATACAAAACCAACAAGATATTTTTAAACTTCAAACTGCTGCTTCTGGCGAAGTCCTCTATCCATAATAGTGCTTTCTCCATTTAGAAATGCACTGGTGTGTTACAGTGGATCAACATTTTGTCTCTAATTTCCATTGAATGTTGTGTTATTTATTTATTTATTTTACTTCCAATCAAATTATTATATATCTGTGCTCTGATGAATTCTAACTAGTATAATGGATGTTTGTTTTACAGAAAAAATGTGTGAAGCACCTAACATCCCAAATGCAGAGATTGTGGAAGGTCAGAGATCAAACTACAGAATCAATTCAACAATAAAATATAAATGTAGTACTGGATTTAAACCAGTGCAGCCTGTACGAATTACCTGTGATTCTCAACGTCAATGGACAGACATACAGCAATGCACTGGTATGGTAAAGTAGATCAACATTTTGTCTCCTAATTCCATTGAATGTTTTGATATTAATTAATTTATTTGTTTGTTTGTTTATTTATTGTATTATTTTGTTTTATATTATTTTATTTTCAATCATATTATTATATATTCTGTGCACTGATGAATTATAACTAGTTTGATGGATGTTTGTTTTACAGAAATAATGTGTGAAGCACCTAACATCCCAAATGCAGAGATTGTGGGAAAACAAAGATCAAACTACAGAATCAATTCAACAATAGAATATAAATGTAGCACTGGATTTGAACCAGAGAAGCCTGTACAAATCACCTGTGATTCCCAACGCCAATGGACAGACATACAGACCTGCACTGGTGTGTTACAGTGGTTCAACATTTTGCCTCTTACTTCCATTGAATGTTGTGATATTAATGAATGAATTGATTAATTTATTTATTTTATTTTATTTTAAATCAAATTATTATATATCTGTGCTCTGATGAACTCTAACTAGTATGATGGATGTTTGTTTTACAGAAAAAATGTGTGCACCACCTTGCATCCCAAATGCAGAGATTGTGGGAAAACAGAGATCAGACTACAGAATCAATTCAACAATATTATATAAATGTAGTAATGGATTTGAACCAGAGGAGCCTGTACAAATTCAATGTGATACCCAACGCAAATGGACAGACATACAGACCTGCACTGGTGTGTTACAGTGGTTGCCTCTTAATTCCATTGAATGTTGTGATATTTTTTATTTGATTTCATTTTCAATCAAATTATTATCTATATGTGCTCTGATGAATTCTAACTAGTATGATGGATGTTTGTTTTATAGCAATGTGTGCAGCACCTTACATCCCAAATGCAGAGATTGTAGGAAGTCAGAGACCAAACTACAGAATCAATTCAACAATATTATATAAATGTAGTAATGGATTTGAACCAGAGGAGCCTGTACAAATTCAATGTGATTCCCAACGCAAATGGACAGACATAGAGATCTGCACTGGTGTGTTACAGTGGTTGCCTCTTAATTCCATTGAATGTTGTGATATTTTTTATTTGATTTAATTTTCAATCAAATTATTATCTATATGTGCTCTGATGAATTCTAACTAGTATGATGGATGTTGGTTTTACAGCAATGTGTGCAGCACCTTACATCCCAAATGCAGAGATTGTAGGAAGTCAGAGACCAAACTACAGAATCAATTCAACAATATTATATAAATGTAGTAATGGATTTGAACCAGAGGAGCCTGTACAAATTCAATGTGATTCCCAACGCAAATGGACAGACATACAAACCTGCACTGGTATGTTACAGCTTATTGACAATTTGCCTTTAATTCCATTGAATGTCGTGATACAACTTTTTCATTATCCAATCAAACACACACACACACACACACACACACACACACACACACACACAAACACATATACATATATACACACATACATACATATATACACTGTATATATATATACATATACAGTGTATATACTGTATGTGTGTATGTGTATATATATATACAGTGGGTACGGAAAGTATTCAGACCCACTTAAATTTTTCACTCTTTGTTACCATTTGCTATCTTTGTGTTTGTTCTTCTCAGAATGTCATCGAGAGGACATTAAATATGAAAACACAGAGCTAGCTGCGAAAGCTTCATACGCTGATGGTGAATCAGTGAGACTGAACTGCATGACCGGTTATACCGGCTTGTATAGATTAAAGTGTGAAAAAGGAGAATGGAAGAAATCCATTGAGCGGACATGTGCAAGTAAGAGAATTATCAATACAATGGCCGCATAATTGTTTGGGTTATTAAATCACTGTTATCATGGAAAGTAAAACTTGTTTGATTTCTGCAGAGAAGAAATGTAGTAATCCAGGCAACATACCAAATGGTGATTTTGAACTTGCAGCGGGCACGGAATTCGTTTTTGGAGCAACATTGGTGTATACTTGTAAGAAAGGGTAAAAGTGCTTTATGCTTTTTTTATTCTCTTTTTTATTGTAGGAAATATATACTATCGTCATCAGTTTGAAACTCCTGTACTTGTAAAAACATTGTGTTTACAGGTATGAAATGGCAAGCAGAATCACTCAGCGTACGTGCAGAGCTCAAGGATGGGACAATACTGTTCCTGTCTGTGAGGGTACGATTCCATGAAAGTCACTGTTTTTCCTTTTTATTTATTCTCATTTAATTTATTTCTGTCATAGAAGAGTGACTCGTAAGCTAGAAGAGAATTATATTGATTGATTGATTTTTATGTGAACGGTTTGTTGGTTTATTTATTTATTTTCATATTCATATATTGTCTAGCTGTAAAATGTCCAGCTATTCATACAGACTGGGATGTAACTGCATCAGGCAACACAGAGGAGGGAAGTTATGGCAATGTTATTCACTTTGAGTGTGTATCTTCTGGCAAAAAGATAGACGGAAGTAGTGACATTCACTGTGAAGAGACGGGAGAATGGAGTGACGTTGTTCCAACATGCAAAGGTTCAGTTTATTGTTTATTTTTCTGTTTATCTGTAGCAGCGCGCATCTGAAGTGTCTCTGAAGGAAATAATGCATTATTTATCGGCTTTAAGATATCGGCCAAATTTTCTTATCAGGCTGATACCGATAACAGAAAAAATGAGCATTTATCGGCCGATACCGATATGGTGGCCGATATATCGTGCATCCCTAATTTAGATCAAGAGGTACAACGTCAATTCCTCTGATAATTTTGTGGTACTGACGACAATAACTACAACATTCATTTGATTTGAAGACCCAGTGAGATTATAAGTTTTAGCTGTTATCTGCTTTTAAAACTGACTTGTTCACTTATTAGAAATTCACAGAAATACTGATTTATCCTGTGCTACACACATTTTTGTCCAATCAGATGGGCTCTACTCTCTATAGAATCAAAAGCAAATTACTGTTTAAGTGCCATTGTGTTAAACTTTCCCTCCTATAAAGAAGTCTTTTCACCTGCTTGAAGCCAATGGGAGGAGGGTTGCGTGATTTTTTTTTAAAAACGGTCACGAGAATCCTCAGTGAAATTGCAAAATAACACAGAGATGATGACACCCAGTTTCTCTCCCCTGGTGAAAAAAATAGTACACTTAAGCTCAATTCATTCATATGTACTTTAGTATAACTAAATGTATTTGTGGAACACTATAAATTGGTATACCTACTTAAAGTCTGTTAAATTGGAACAACTAATTTTGTACGAAAATGCATTTTAGTTGTGCCAAAGCAGTGCTTATGTTCAACTAAAGTTGTGATAAATATACTTGTTTGTGCTAAAGTGGAACTATTTCAAGTGCACTTAAAGGGTTAGTTCACCTAAAAATGAAAATTAGGCTGCTTTTTACTCACCCCCGAGGCATCCTAGGTGTATATGACTTTCTTCTTTCAGACGAATCCAGTTGGAGTTATATAAAAAATTGTCTTTGATCTTTCAAGCTGTTTAATGCCACTCAGCGGGTGTTGCATTGCTTCAGTCCAAAATAACTTCAATAAAAATCGCCCATCCATAAAAAAAAAAGTGTCTCACACGGCTCCAGGGGGTGAACAAAGGCCTTCTGTAGCAAATCGATGCGCTTTTGTAAGAAAAATATCCATATTCAAAACGTAATAATCACTTTAATGTGCTTGCGCTCACTGTTGTAAACAGAAGCAGTTCCGGGAGCATGACCTATGAGGTCAGCGCTGCGCATGCGCCGGTGAGTCTCGTGAAAACCAACGTTTGTTTACAGGATCAAAGGAAGCAAAGTTTCCTTACTGTAGCAAAGGAAAACCAGTCTCCTCTTGGCTTATATCGAAATCATCTGACATTCTTCTTTACAAATCCTTGTTTTGTACTTCTAATTCTTGACCATTGTTTTGTTTTGCTCTCTCCGCTGTGTTTCCGCGTGCGTCACTTCTGAGCGGCGCATGCGCAAAGCCGACCTCATACGTCATCCACCCGGAACTGCCTCCGTTTACAACAGTGAGCGCAAGCTAGATTCAAGTGATTATAACGTTTTGAATATGGATATTTTTCTTACAAAAACGCATCGATTCGCTACAGAAGGCCTTTGTTCACCCCCCGGATCCGTGTGAGAAACTTTTTTTTTATCGATGGGCGATTTTTATTTAAGTTTTTTTGGACTGAAGCAATGCAACACCCGCTGAGTGGCATTAAACAGCTGGAAAGATCAAAGACAATTTTTAATATAACTCCGACTGGATTCGTCTGAAAGAAGAAAGTCATATACACCTAGGATGCCTCGGGAGTGAGTAAAACGCAGTCTAATTTTCATTTTTGGGTGAACTAACCATTTAAGTACACTTTAAATATCCCTTCTTGTATATAAGTTTTGAAATGCAGAATTCACTCAGCATAAACTTCAAATGTATTTTGCTGACATTACAATTACACTTTAAGAGTGTTAAATGTGCATTAATATTATACTAATAACAAACTGAGGTCATACTATCCTTTACTTTTAGTAACTTTAAAACGCATTGCAATGGCATTCAAAGTAAACTTGAAGTGTGCTAATAGCATCATTATTGTGTGCTTCGAATGCAATTAATTAATCTTTATAAATTACAGCACAGCTTTACAATTCATCTTTTAGGCCTACTAACATTCCCAGCATACCAGGCAACTCACTTACCCAGAGACCATCAGTGACACACTGGGGACAGACATTTGAACATTGAATGTAGGAAGCATTACAGACTGGATTCAAACCCGGGTCGCTGCGACACAAGCGCACCCGCTTTATCAGTTGCACCACCAAAGCAGACACACACTGTGTAGAACTGCGGTTACTCCGTGTTCTTTTTATACTGTTACAAGTACTACTATAAGTACACATACATTTTCCATCGATGAAAGCACAATTTATATGTATTTAAAGACTGAATTTCTGAGTAGTCTTATTATAGGCACAGTAAGCGGTGCATGAAAATAAACCTGAAATGGCCTGAGAACACGAAAGTGCGTTAAACCTGAAGCTGTTAGTGGACACAACATTAAATATCATCTGCAGAATGTTTTGCTTCCCTTTTACCTGACATGTTCTGTCATTAACGCTGCAGGAAACAATTGCATAAACTGCCATAGCATTAGTTTCAGTGAACGCAGATGGAGTAAAACCATCTGTAACATTTCTCTGCCCGTTGTCTCTGCACACTTCAGCTCTCAATGCAGTTCTCAAAAATGAGAACTTTATTTAGTACTCACATGTTGTGACAGCAGCTTTCTGTCCGTGTGCTTCGGATGTGTGTACTCCGAAATCCGTATATCAGAAGTTTAAACTCATATGGTTTAAAACGCATGATTTCAGTGCAATAAACATGATAATCAGAACCAAAACAGATGTTTTTAGCAGGTCCAAGCTGTAATGGCACAGCTCTATTCTGGAAAAGGGGGCGGGGAGCAGCAGCTCATTTGCATTTAAAGAGACAGGCCCGAAAAACAGCGTGTTTCTGCTTCCACTCAAAATAGGCATTTTCAAAATGATATAATAAATTATCTGTGGAGTATTTTGAGCTGAAACTTCACAGACACATTCTGGGGACACCAGTGTATTATGTAAAACGCAATAAAACGATTTGGCAGTTTGGCGGTCTCGCAGCGGATTTAAATATGGCGCATGAATTGAAATTATTTTAATACATTTTACATTGTTACTTTTCATGTAGTTAACGTCTCTGAAGTTATTTTACATTATATATATAATATAGGCTGATTCCGCTCCCTTGGTGACGTGGCAAAGGGATCTCATTATAATATTAGTTCCACTTAATCTGTAAGTTTCCACCCAAGGAGCCATCATTTTGAGTTCACAAGCGACAGCGGTGTACCAGCTCTAATGCCATGGTGAAAGTTTGAGCAAAACATGCTAACTGTTCTGTCTTTGGCTGCACAGACGAGCACAGAAC